TAGGGACTCTGTCTTGGTGAAGTGGTTTCCAAATGCAGGGTTAGGGTTGTGAACAAATAGTTTAAATATTTTGCCTGCGTAATAGCCAGTTTGACTCAAGTTCTGGATATTGTATTTGATATAAAATGATCAGTTAACAGTAGGATTTTGAACTGGAAAAAAAGGGCAAAATAATCCCCCACATTTTATTCTTAGAGGCTTGCAAATATTTTTATTGTTTTTCAGTTATCACTTGTTAGACCATCTTTGTAGATGAACCTCATAGTCTCTTTTATGACAGATAGTTTATGTAGATTTCAGAAATCTTGATTACTTTTATATATAATTTTTTTTTTTTTGAGACAGTCTCTCTCTGTCATCAGGAATAGAGTGCAGTGGCATCATCATAGCTCACTGTAATCTCTAGCTCCTGGGCTGCAGTGATCCTCCTGCCTCAGCCTCTCAGGTAGCTGGAACTAGAGGTGTGCACCACCAGGCCTGGCTAATCTTTCTAGTTTTTCATGAAGGCAGGGTCTCACTGTGTTGCTCAGGCTGGTCTCAAACTCCTGGCATCGTGGGACCCTTTGGCTGTTTTCTCCCACAGTGCTGAGATTATAGGCATAAACCACTGCATTTGGCCCCTTATATATATAATTTTATACACTTCAAATCATCAAACTTTGATTAAAAATACATAGAACATTAGATTGCACTGAAAGTTCTTTTTGTGAATATTGAAAGGGTTTTTTTGTGTTAATGTTTACTAGAATAATTAATTAGTTTGGTTAAGTAATCTCAAAAAAACTCTAATCTTTGTAAATTTAGGTAATAGGTTTTGTACATTAAAGAATAGAGATGAGCTATCTTGTAACTTTGTTTTTAGTAACTTATCTTTCACAAATAATGGTTAAGTAAAATATGATAACAAATTAAAATGCCTGCATCGATCTCTAGAAGCAGTTTGAAAACCAAGCCTCAAATCAGGAGCAGTAGGAATGAGTGACTTGCAGTCACGTAGCTCCTTTCATAGTGCCTTTGATTTCTTCTTCTTAAGTTGAGCCTTTACGGTGGTTAAATGGGAACAATATTGATGAAACTAAGAATATGTCAGATGGCTTTAGGGTATGTGTATTTCAAGGAAATATTTTCTGTTTACATATTAGGTTATAAAGATTCATTAGATTCTTGAGTAAGGCAAAAGGAAAGAGATGAAGTTACATCCTTTTTTTGTAGATTCTTAGACATACCTTTCATAATTTAATCTTTAATTCACATAATCATGATAGGGAAGAGCAGGGGTATAGGCCTCTTCGCATTATGTGTCCTGATGTAGTGTGTGTCATTGTGGAGATTTATTTAGTGTGTCTGTGAGAAATATTACTGTCTATTTTGGTGTAAGACATAAGTTAACAAAACAGTTCTGTAATGCCTGAGATAGTTACTTGATTGTATAAATTAAAACTTTTTTTAATTCTCAAAATTGGGCCCAGACTTGACTGTCATCTTTTAGATGAAATGAACTTTGGCCTGGATGCTGATCCACAGCTTGCTTTTACTGAAATATCATCAAGTATTATGAAAAATTTCATTTCAGTAATTTTGAAGTTTTACATATTGCAACTTTACAGAATAGTCATTTTGCTTTGTTTTTAAATGTAATACATTTAGATTTTTCTGAAATTAAGGTCAGAACACCGTATAAATGCTCTTTTGGAAATGTCAGGGCAACGTGGCTTGTCATTGCAGGTGTATCAAGTAGAAGATGTGTGTGAGGAGGAGATGCCTGAGGAGCCAGATGAGTGCGTCCACATGGACAGGACGCCTCCGCCACCCACTCTGTCTCCAGCAGCTGTAACACTGGGCAGAGAAGACTTGACTGAACACCCTTTGTTAGGTGAGGATAGAGCCAAAAATGGGAGAATTTTTCGTGCTGGTAATGAGAAAAGTTTATTCTTTCACTAGAGATCACAAACTAATTTGTTACTATAGTTAATTGTAACAAAAGATAAAGGTTTTTTTTTTTTTTAAATGAGAAACAGTTTATTAAAGAGTAAATAACTTGCCTTAAATTCTTTAATAGCAGGGAGTGCAGTAGTTTATAAATTGTTCAATACCACCCAATTGAAAACTTAAGTCTTCTGACATTTAGTGGTTTGTACAGATATGTTTCATGTGCCCATTCAGATTCATGTGTTGAGCTATTTCGGCTTTAAAAATTAAAATAAATTGTCCAGGTATAGTAGCTCCTACCTGTAATCCTAGCCCTTTGAGAGGTTGAGGTGGGAGGATTACTTGAGGCCAGCCTGAGCAAAAGCAAGACTCCCCATCAGGTGTGATGACTCGTGCCTGTAGTCCCAGCTACTCTAGAGGCTGAGGCAGAGTGCTACTTACTAGTTCAGGTCAAACACCTGTAACCTCTTCATCACCAAAGTTACTGTGTACTCTAGGCATTTTACTAAAACATTACGATAACTAATAGCCTAGTGCCTGGGTCCTGCAAAAGGTATGTTTCATGTTATTTAAATTTATAGATATTTTATTTAGGTCAGGGATTGGCAAACTCCTATTCACTTCCTTCCTGCTGCTTATTTTTGTATAATACAACCTAAGGGTGGTTTTAAAATTTTTGAATAGTTGGAAAAATATCAGCTCGGCACTCATAGTTAAGTGGTTACCACCTATAGCTAAGTGGTTACATACACCAGGGCTGGTAGGTTTGAACCCGACCTGGGCCTGCTAAACAACAGTGACAGCAGCAACAACAAAATAATAGCTGGGCATTGTGGCGGATGCCTGTAGTCCCAGCTACTTGAGAGGCTGAGGCAAGAGAATTGCTTGAACCCAAGAGTTGGAGGTAGCTATGAGCTGTGATGCTACAGCACTCTACCTAGGGTGACATAGTAAGACTCTTGTCTCAAAAAAAAAAAAAGAAAAAGGGAAAAATACCAAAAGAAGGATGAGAAGGATATTAGTTTTTCGTGAAAATTATGTAAAATTCTAATTTCGTCATCTATATAAATAAAATGCTGTGGAACCTAGCCATGTCTGTTTGTTCAGATATCATCTATGGCTGCTTTTGTGCTAATAACCACTACGTTGAGTAGTTGCAGACTATATGACCTTTTATGGAGTCTTTACTAATCCCCAATCTAAATAATACCATCTTAGTGCAGGACTTGTTTTAAACACAGTAGAATCTCCATAGTTGACCACCTCCTTAAGTTGACCCAGTTTTCATCGACTGGACAGGCACCACGTATACTCAATGGAGGAATGACCTCTGTGTATTGACCGTCTCTGTAAGTTGTATCTCGACCACTTGGACTGTGAAATACAATATTAATTAACCCTTTATAACTTGACCAGTTAAATGCTCCACAAGGGTAGAAGGTATGGGCTTTGCCCTTAGTTGTATTTTTTCTTTAGGATAAGTTCTTTTTCCTGTTGTTACTACTGCCGTTGGATTGGGCCTAACACCCTCTTGTTTATCACGTGTTACAGAAGATGTTTTCAGTGTGAAGGACTGGTCTGAATTGTAGGCACATCCTATAGTACTGAAAAATTTTACAGTTAATGGAGACACGATAGCCCAAAGGAAAGAACTCAAAGAGCTGACACTTAAGGAAAAGGTTGATCTTCTATGTTTTCTGGAAAGCAGCAGCCAAAGAAAGATGATGGAACATTTTGGTGTTAGCAAGACCACAGTTAGCAACATCCAAAACGTAAACATGAGCTCCCGAGGGATGTGATCAGGAGAGCAGAGACCTACAGCAGAAAAGCAGGAAAACTTTTCCTCCATGAAGTCAGTCAAGCCAGTGAAGCTGGTTCAGGCAAATGAGGGCAGTTAACACCTGGGTCTCCAGGCCAGTGATCCAAGAAGTTGCTGATCCCTTGGGCTGGGCCTGGTGGTCTCCTCACTCTGGGAGGCCAAGGCAGGTGGATCCCTTGAACTTAGGCGTTCAAGACCAGTCTGAACAAGAGTAAGACTTCAACTCTGCTAAAAATAGAAAAACTAGCCAGGCATAGTGACAGGCACCTGTAGTCTCAGGCCACTTGGGAGGCTGAGGCAGGAGGATCACTTGAGCCCAGGAATTTGGGGTTGCTGTGAACCCTGATGATGCTGTGGCACTCTACCCAGGGTGACACAATGAGACTCTATCTTAAAAAAAAAAAATCCATCACCTGGCGATCAAACTAATGGGAATGGATGACCGGTGGTCTATTTGAGGAGTGGGCAAGGGCTATGGACTGAAGGTTATTGTGCAGATTAAATGAAATAATAAATATAAAGTTCTTAAGACGGTTTTGGGGAAAGAACCAGATGTGAACTATTGTTGTTAGTGTTTATTCTTGAATTATCTTTTATTTTTGCCTGAGCAAACTGCTAAAAATGTAAAATGACTTTTTTTTTCCTCAGAGCAAGTGGAATTACCTGCTGTGGCATCAGTCAGTGCTTCAGTGATTAAGTCTCCTACAGATCCCTCACCCGTTTCTGTTCCTCCGCCCCCACTTCTTCTCCCAGCCGCATCCACAAGGAGCAGCACTGCATCGGGGCAGGGCAGTGCGCCCAGCATGGACAGCCGGCCGCCACAGGCCATCGTCAAGCCCCAGATCCTCACCCATGTAATCGAGGGCTTCGTGATTCAGGAGGGGCTGGAGCCATTTCCTGTGAGTGACAGGCATGTTTTTGTGTTTGTTACTCACATAACAAACATTATTTCTGAAGTTGTCTATTCTGTAATGAAAATCTTGTAATTTTATTTCAAGAACGTTGTCAATTTTTATCTAGAATTTATATGTCATATAAAAATATGTATCCAGCATTTTACTCTAGCTATTTAGGTATATAAACTATGGAAAAAGTGAAACAAATCTCAAGATACAGAGGTGTCAGTTTTATAATTTTTAGAGAAAGTTAGTTGGAAGTTTACTTCAATGAAGTAAACATTTCTGGCTTTTCTTTGTAGGGAGACTGAAATGACCCCTAAAGTGCCGTTTAAAAATAGTGCTTCAAAGTATGTGATACTTTGAATTTTAACCTGAGAGCAGGAAAAGTAACTTCCCAATGATCTAATACATCTGTAGTTATCCAGTTGATGGTTTATAATTAGCAAATAGATTTTCTGATTATTTCTAAATTCCATCTTTCAATCAGATTTCGAAAGTGCTTTAAAATGTTCGGTTCAAAATGGAGATGTTCTATGACTGCAAGTCCTGTAATTTGACACTAGCTGTACATAATTTAGAATTCTTATTAGAAATGCGGCTTTAACATACACCCACAAGAAATTGAACACAAAGGCAATTGATTGGGTAATCATACTTCATAATATAAGATTTTCACCCATGAATCTGAAAATTCACTTGACTCAAGGCCTTCAAAAGAAGTAATTTATATGGTAATATTTAGAGATGAAGATTTTTCCTTAGAAAAGAAATCAAAGATAGGTAGACATAAAGACTCTGTCCAACTAGTCTCAAATTATAAAACTTACAGTGTTAGGGGACCTCTGTTTTGAGCTAAATGTTTTGAAGCCTATTAAAAAATCTGATGGTGATCTTCCCTCTCTGACTCCCTGCTCTTTGCTCCCCTCTCTCATGTTCTCATCTCTTTCCCCCAACTCTCTTTCTTTTCTCTAATATAAAATAAACTTAGACTTTTATATCCAAAATAAAATAAAATAAATCTGATTGAAGCTGGGTGCCATGGCTCATGCCTATAATCCCAGCACTCTGGGAGGCCGAAGCAGGTGGATTGTTGAGTTTAGGAGTTCAAGACCAGCCTAAGCGAGAGTGAGACCCCTGTCTTTAAAAATAGCCAGGCCTTGTGGCGGGTGCCTGTAGTCCCAGCTACTCGGGAGGCTGAGGCAGGAGAATTGCTGGAGCCTGAGTCTGGGGGTGCTGTGAATCATGACACCATGGTACTCTGCCGTGGGTTACAAAGTGAAACTCTGTCTCAAAAAGAAAAATCTGATTGAAGGCTGAAATTTAGGAGCAGTCTTTTTCCAACGTATGCATCACTGTTTTACTTCTTTGAACAGCAAAGAGTATAGTACTAGTATAAAAATTGATTTTTACTGCTAATTTATATTATGAGCTCAGTTTCATTTTTTTGAATTTACAACAATGTTAACCATGAAAAATTTCAAATATGTGTACACTTAGAGTTGTATGATGAACATTTATCCTCAGGTTCATCTGTGATTTGCTCTGTTTTGCCACATTAACTTCCTTCGTTTTCCTCCTTTTTTCCTCCTTTCATCCTCTTTGAAAACCATAGCCCTTATTTTATTTCACGGATATATCCATCAGTGTGCATCTCTAAGAATATATATATAGTTTCTGGTAACTGTAATGCCATATCAGACATAGCAAAATAGTAATTCTTGGTTCATATTCAGATTTTCCTAATTGTTTAAAAAAAAGTCCTTTCATAGTTAATTTGTTTCAAATCAAGACCCAAACAAGGTTTATATTGTGCCTTTTATTTCCCCAGTCGCATACTGTGTAACTTTTGTCATATTCAATCAACCCTTCTGGTTTTTGTTTTGCTCATCTCGCAGAGATGATACTTTGCTTCTTAGGGTTGTTGAGAAGCTTAAATGTGCGTAAGTCATTACGTAGTGCCTGGTGCTTACCAGCCACACCTGCTGCTGTTTGTTGTCACTGACGGTAACCGTAACTTTGAAAAGTAATACATGTTCTAAATGGAGAATTTGATAAATACTGAGAGCAGATAATCCACATTAATACCGTAATGTGTACATTCACGCATTTTCTCATAACTGAGATCATTGTGTACAGTCCTGCTGCCCTCACTTAAACGTGAGCATTCGTTCTCCCTCACCATTCCTAGTGTGTTGGAGACGTGATGGAAAGTAATGTAATATTCTGCTGTCTGGACATTTGTAGTTTATGTAATCCGTTTATTACTGTTGGACATTTAGGTTTCCGTGTGTCACTGTTCAGATAGTTCTGAAAGGAATGTCCACACTTAAGTAGAGTGTTATATCACATGTATATATCTGTAAGACTCTTGATACACACTGCCCAACTGTTTTTAAAAATGGTACTATTCATCTACCAGAAGTATGTGCCTTATCAACATTGAATATCAGCTTTTTCAAAATGATAACGTCCACAAATTTTACTTGAAGCATATTGAATGTCTAACTGAAATGAAGAAATTAAAATGTTTGTGGGTGGTAATGTAGAAATGTCCAATAAGCTGTTGTCCCTGTGGCAGAAATTAGATTTAACCAGCACTTGAATAAGAGGCTCTAGTCATCCTATTCTAGGGCCTTGGCAGTGGTTATGTAAATATTTTTGGTCTACATTGTTTCAGCTGAAAAAAAATTTTTTTTGGCAGTTTTTGGCCAGGGCTGGGTTTGAACCCACCTCCTCTGGCATATGGGGCTGGCGCTCTACTCCTTTGAGCCACAGGTGCCACCCGGTTTTGTTTTTTTTTAAACTCCCAGGGTGGCACCTGTGGCTCAAGGAGTAGGGCGCCAGCCCCATATACCAGAGGTGGCAGATGCAAGCCCAGACCCAGCCAAAAACTGCAAAAAACAAAAACAAAAAAAAAGACAAAACAAATGAACTCCCAACATCCAGCTAATTTTTCCATTTTTAGTAGAGATGGGTCTCACTCTTGCTCAGGCTGGTCTTGAACTCCTGAGCGAGTGCTGGGATTACAGGCTGAGCCACCTGTCTTTGACAGAGACTTTGGAGCAGCCGTACTGCTGGTGACAAGAAAGAGCGCTCATTGCCCAGCCTGCCCTGCCTTTTCTCAAAGGGCAAAGCACTTAATGAACAGATCTGATTAGCTGAACAAGCAACTTATCACAACTAAGTTATTTCTGAATGTCTTTTTAGATAATATTAATTTTATTCTCTCCTTTTTAAAGGTGAGTCGTTCGTCTTTGCTAATAGAACAGCCTGTGAAGAAAAGGCCTCTTTTGGATAACCAGGTGATAAATTCAGTGTGTGTTCAGCCAGAACTACAGAATAATACAAAGCATGCTGATAATTCATCTGATACGGAGATGGAAGACATGATTGCTGAAGGTTTGTGGATTTCACTCAAGATGCCCTTTAACTTTGACTTTTACTGCTTGGATCAGGATGTGGATTTTTATTCTGTAGATTTTCACTTGGACATACTGACTTTTATTCTCATACAGTACATGACTTCACTAAAATAATAGAAAAGCTAACTTAAGGGCCAGATAACTAAAATAACAAGATTGGTGCAAGTTCGTACAGTGTTTTATTTTTGAGGTAGTATGATTGGGAAAGTTCTAGTCTACATGAGATGAGACAGTTCAGAATTTGAGCATCAAAACAAGCAAGTCTTTGTCTTCATTTTCTTGAGTAGACTAACAAGCGACTGTTGTACTGAGTTTTCTGAAACATTCAGAGCTTCTGGGTTGTTTGGTTTTAGGCTTTCCATATTCTGATGTTTGATGTCAGGTGGGTATTACAGTTAATCACATGAGGGATGTACCCCCGCTCTCAAAAGCTGATTACATTTGTTCAAAGAGAAAAATGACTAAATCTCCTCAATGTCAAGTAATCCTTTGTTATGGGCTTTATTCTAATGGTGACTATTAGAAGTCAAAGTGTTATGCCAGATGACTGAAGGAAAAACATGAATATGAAAACAATGTATTTTACGCCTTGAGTTTGCTATTTAAAAATCAGCAAATGCTTGTACTGTTTTTTTTTTTGGTGAGGCTCTAATATGTTCTATAGGAGCATTTCTGTGGACTGTCCATGATTAATGTTGATTGTCACCTTGCAATTGCTGTGGTTCAATTTAATGTTATAGCATTTAGTATAGCCAGGGGTATATAGTCATGAATTGACATCTATGTCCAGATAGTTACCAGTATATCACCATATTTCATCTAAATTTATTCATCTTTAAAATATTTTTTGAGCGTGTATTATGTACCTTTGCTTTGCTAATAAGCAAAATAGTCTGGTGGTAACTAAACAGATGTTGTCTTTGCCCCCAGGTTTCTAACTCTTGAAAGGTTGACTGACCCTCTGATACTGTTAGGACTTTACTGTTGCAACGTATGCATCACTGTTTTACTTCTTTGAACAGCAAAGAGTATAGTACTAGTATAAAAAT